TCTGTGGGGCAGGGGCTGGCAAGGGGAGGTGTCACTGGGGCTAAGTGAAGGGGGGAACAGAGATAAAACTGCGCAGTGAAGCTGAACTTCCAGTGGTCCAGAATAGAGACTGAAGACCCCAAGCAGAAGATACCCAGGTGGAGCAAGTGAGGTTGGGGTTTCCTGAGCAAAGGGCCAAGGGTGCCTGCTGAGGTAGGAGACAAAGGTAGGTCTATACTCGAAAGTACCGGGGACAAGCACACCCAGCCCCTCATTCAGCTAGTGGCGGATCCTGTCCATTCCATTCTGCCTCCTGTTCACTCCACCATCCTTGCCTTTGCCGGCACCTTTCGTTCTCCTGGAATGCCCTTCCTGCTTCTCCACGTGGGTAATTCTCTGTCATCCTTCAGGGTTCAGATCAGGGTCACCTCCTCCAAGAAAGCTTCCCTGTGTCCCTTCTGGGAACTCGAATAACATCACACTGCGGAAGGGGCTGCACGTGGGCAGTGGCCATGAAGAATTCTTAGGTATGGGGCCAGTTCTGGTGCTTTGGGTGTCATACAGGGCACGGTATTAGGGGGGCTCAGCAGGAAGGTGGGACCCCAGGGCCTTCTTTATATGAAGGAGGAGGTGCCAGCTGCCCTTGCAACAGTGGAGGTAGGGTGCCACCGAGGCTGAGCCTTGGATTCCTGGCCATGGGCCGGGCCTCCCACATTCCCATCCCCAATGAGGGAAATTATGCAGACCGAGCCACAGAGAGGAAGTCCTTCGGGTGGAGGCAGGCGGAGTAATTCCTGGAAGGAAGCCTGCACCTCAGGAATCTGATAGGGGAATACTCTAGAGGCCTCTGTCCCAGGATCCCCACCTCTTGCCCCCAGGAAGGGGCAGGCAGGGCTGGACAGCCATCCAGGAGATCTGCCCCTGGGTGCCCAGGAATTGCCCTCCCTTCATCAGCCTCCTGAAACATGTGGCCCAGGCAAGAGCACAGGCTCTGGGACAGCCCACTGGGTCTGTGCTCTGTTCTCTCTAAGTCTCAGCTTTCTCCTCTGTGGAATGAGGATGGTGAGTTGTCGCCCCCCCCCCCGAGGGTATTATAGCAGAGTAAGGAACCCAGCTAGGTACCAGCACACCATGAGGCACAGTCAACAGGGCCTACTGGTGTAAAAAACCTCTGCCCACCCTACCTTCCCTCCCAAGGTAGGCTGTGGGGGCACCTACCGTCCCCCCAGTGCTCACGCACTCCACTCAAGTGCAAGTATGCATGGGTGTGTCCCAAGCTCTGGGGCGGGAAAAGCAGCCAGGCTTGGGCAGGGTGGAGGGGAGACTGAGAAGTTTTCTCCACAGCCCTCAGCACACATAGGCTTAGGTGGAGGGATGGCATGTCCTAAAGACAAACGTCACCCTCTCCCCTAAAACTGACATGCCAGGCCAGGCAGCAGGCACCAGGAAAGGAGAGCCTTACTGCTGCCTTCCAAACCCAAAGAGTCTTCCTAAAAGCCCCACCTGATGGTGACCAGGGCTGGGGGCTCTCTAAGAAGACAAAGCACCCACAACAGGACCCAAGGGGCCAGTTTCTCCCTGAATGCCAAGGGAGAGAAGGAGTCCTGACCTCCCAGCAGGTCAGGACTGGGTGCTGGCCCAGGTGGAACAAAGGGTGAGAAGCACAGAAGGCAGGTGTGCTCGAGGGGCAGGAGATGGGGCTGGAGGTTAGGGCTGGGAAGGGCAGCTTGAGAGGTCAGTCAAGGGCAGTCCACACCTTGGATCTTCTCCTTTAGGTAATGGGGAGCCCTGGAGAGTATAGGAGTGGTGAAGTGATGGGACCAGATTTGCACCTTTGAAAGTCTCCTCCAGTTGCATGATAGGGGTGGACTGGAGGGGCAGGGCTCGCAGCACTGGCATCCATGGGAGAAGATCCTAAGCAAAGGCCAGAGGAGGGAAGCCTGGCCTGAGAGAGGCTGCTCCGAGGACACTCTCAGAGGCTAATCTTTCCCATGCTGCCCCCATGGGGGGGGGGGG